CGATAAGATTCAGGACAATATATCAAGAATTGAAACTGAACTAACCGAATCAATTTGGGTCCATTAGGTCCAACCCAACCCATTGGCAACCCTAGAGAGAGAGAGAGAGAAGGGGTAATAAATGAAAAGTAAAGAGAGTAATAACAATTTTGTGACAATATTGTAATTATATGTGATGACACTCTTGTAATTACATGAAATCTCAATGTCATATGCACAACTAAAAATGTGGAAATGATTTTTTTCAATGACATTCCTATTATTAATAAAAAACTCAAGGTGAAAAATAATGATACTCTTATAATTAGATGAAAATTCATCGTCATATGTACAAATAAAAGAAAGGCAATGATTACTTTCAATGGCACTCTTGTAATTAGTAAAAAACTCAAGGTGACAAATAATGACATTCTTGTAATTAATAATAGAAAATTCAAGGAGACAAATAATGTCATTCTTGTAATTAGTAAATGCTTGTTAGGATTCCATTTCAAGCAAAACGGGTGGTGTGCTCGTACCCATTTTACTTTTAGTATATATATGATATGATTAAATAAATATATTAATGCATTATTTTGTTAAAGTATAGGGTGATGATTTTTGAAAATTCTCCTTCAAATATTATTTTAGTAATAAAAGAATTGAATGAAAAGACTATTGTATTGGCAATGATGATTTCTTGAAACAAATAATATTTTATTATTTTTTTTATCAAAAGGCGGATATCTCCTATGTKTTTTTTTCATTTCACAATTATAGTTTCACTTTCTTCTTCTTCTTCAATTCACCATCTGCATTTCTTCTTTGTTCTTCTTAAATTCACCATATACATTTAGAAGTCTTTTTGTTTCTTCATTTTTCAATTCATCTCTCCCTCTCTTCCTCTTTCCCTTTCTCTTGCTTTCTCTACTCTATTCATGTTGTTGAGCACAAGAACATAATTTCTCTATGACTATTGCAAACCACACCAATGGTGATCTATGTGGTTGTAGAGCACACCAACATGGCAATACCACATAGATAGCAATGGTTAAAAAATTTTTTTAACTTGTTTTTGTCTTAAAAGTTGGATTGATAGAGAATGAGAGAAAACTTTGAACCAAGTTTCTTTTTCCTCCTTCCATGAAGTTGGAGAGATTAGAATTAAGGYGCCATTCGCTTTTCACTAAGTTACTTAACCAGGTAAATGTACTTACCTGGGTAAGTTTTTATTGGGAAACACTTACCCAGGTAAGTGCATTTACATGTGTTCTTTTATTTCTCATGTAAATAAGGCAATAACCATTTTAGCCATAAAAATNCCCAGGAAAATAAATTTTCCTTGGTCCCCACATAAATCTAAGAAAAAAAGAATATGGGATTCTTGGTCAATGGGAACCAAAATCCCATTCACCAACTTCCCCCCTTTTCAAAATCCGAAAAAAAAACACCCCCTAAAGATTTTGACAAATTCAAATTGAACTTGAATATTTGATTAATTAGATGACTTTGAATTTGGTGTATTGTTTTAAAATAACCATCAGATATCAAATTGAATTCAAATGCATCYTTATCTACTTAAACAATTTTGAATTTGAATTAGGCCTGATTCAATTTAAATTTACTCCATTTACGCTGCTATTTTCAGCCCTTCTCGCTTGTTTTGATATAGGGGAAACAGAATTTGCAATATAAAAGAGGCAAAACATAGCTGAAATATTTTTTCTTGAAGAAAATTTCAAATTGTTTTATGTTGAAACAATGGAACCTATTGGAAAATTTCCAGATGCTCTTGGAAGAAAATAAAAAGATGTTAATGATGTAATTAGGACGCTATTTTACATATTGAAATTTTAGAAGCAAGATGCTTGAAGCCATTTACTACTATTGATAGCATATTGAAAAGACTTCGAAATTAGGAAACAAGTTGTAGGTTCCCATTTTAAAAATTACAACAAAATCAATTACATGTGAGATCCTTGTGATAGAATACTAGTAAATGATTGGAACAAGAAACAATGCTACACGTCAACATGATCACTCAAATATATATATATATGTCATATATGAAGTGACATCTATATAACCATGAAGTAGCAAGCATTAAGGCTCGTTCGTTTACCTGTAAATAGGGGCGAGAGGAAGTTGGTCAATGGATATGTTTTTCCCATTCACCAAYTTTATAGCATTCTTTTTATATTAACTACGGGGCCCTACTGTCAAAAGAGTAAAATAGGTAATTATATTACTTAGTTGGAAATTAAAAGAACATGGGTAAATGAATTTA